TTAAATAGAAAACAATCAAAACTAATTTCATTGGCGAGTTTTTTTTTTTTTTGAGTCAAAAAAAGAATATTAACTGATGAAATTGATTGGTTTGTGTTTTGGAATGAATAAGGTGTTGGAGTGTATATATAATATATAATAATAAATATATTTAATATGTAATATATATTATATTTATATAAAATATTAGTATAATTAATATTTGTATATATTATATAATTATAATTATAAATTTATATTATAACATTTGTATATTTATATTTAATTTTATATATTTAATATTTAATTTAATTAGTTACAAACTTATAATAATATTATTATTAGTTATATGTATTATATAATATATATTAATCTATGTAATATAATTGATATTATTAATTATACTAATAATTATACATGTTTAGCAATAGAAATTATTAATTAGTTATACTAAATTTACTAATACATTTATACTAATATATTTAATTAGTGAAAATTTCTTATATCTCATTTACAAGGAGCCAACGAACCAAACATGAACTATAGTAATGATATACATTCCTGACATTGAACCAAATAAATATATTGTAATGATTGATTCCATTCCAAATCCAGGATGAATGATTTCGAATTCGAATCCGATTCCAACATGTGAACCAAACGCCACCTAAATGTTCATAGGATTCAACTGTTGTCCATGAAACTTTTAAAAGTTACGTACATCGAGTAATCTAAGGTTTAGTTTATGGCTTTTAACCATAAAGCTAAAGATAAAGCTATTAGAACTTCTTTTGTTAGGAAATTGCTTTAATTTTTTTATTCAAATTTTTAAATTTATGTAGAAGTAATTAGTTTTCTAATTGGTTTTAGTTGCTTGAAATGTTAGTGAAAAAGTTTCTTATTTTGTTTAAGAATTAAATGTTATTTCCTATTCTGAATCAATCTAGAAATTAATATTGATTTCCTGTTATTATTTAGTTCTTGGCCAAATAATATTTTCTATAAATAAGTAGATTGACATATTACAAAGTACAAGGGACACATAAGGGCGACATGTAACCTTATACATGAGATGAGAGAGGGTTATTGAGAGATGAGAGATGGTATACAAAAGTTACCATGGGTTCAAGTTGTACTTTTGTACAGGGTTTTCCTCTCATAATAAAGAACGAATTTTCTTTTTGTTGACGTAAACTTAATAATAGAGTCGAGTCACGTTAAATATTATGTGTCATTATCTTTCATACTTGTGACTTTTTTATCATTAAATTGTTGTGTACTTAATATCTTAATAGTTGTTTAATTTTGGATTTGAATCTCAACATTTTTAATGTTTTCTCTTTGTATCAGCTTTTTAGGAAGAAATCAGTCTAGATATAAGATTTTACCTTTCTAATCATCCCACTTTGCAAAAGCAAAATGCATTACCTTTTGTAGTCGAACTAAGGCTCTGTTTGATAAAACTGAATCTGAATTCTGAATTCTGAATACTGAAACAATTAATTTGCTGAATATTAAGCACTGAAAAGAGATATATGAATATCTGAATCTTAATGCTGAACATATTTATACTGTTTGACAAACATTTATAACTTAATGCTTAATAAGCTAAATTGTACAATTTTGCCCTTCTATCTTTTAATCCAAAAAGGAAATAGAACCTATGATTTAATTAGTTTAAATTTGTTAGGTATGAAAATGACAATATTTATTTTTAAATCAAAGTAATATAAAAGAAGAAATATATTATGGAAAAGTCCAAATATCGGTGCAAATATATTTTTAAATCAGAGTTTGATAAGAAAAGTCCAAATATAAACAAAAGGAAGCTGCAATAAACAAGTTTTAAATTCACACCAAATTATATAGAAATTTAATTACTTCAATGGAAAAATATTGAAGCAAAACAACAAATAATCAATGTCACTTACCTTGGAAATAATGAATTTGAGATCGGTGAGTACGGTAGCAATAAAAAAAATTGGGAGGAAAAAAATGACAAAATTATGAAAGAGTAGAAAGATGGAAAAAGATAAGGAGTAGACAGATGTGAAAATTGTAAAAAAGTCATTAAATAGAGAGAAAATAGAAGTAGAAAGCCATTAGACAGAGAATGTCAGGTTGTTTAATTAGATAAGGATTTTGGATAGAGAATATTAGGTTGTTTAATTAGATAAGGATTTTAAATGTAATTAACAAACAAAGATAGATTTGATAGATAAGATAAAGTAGTTGAAGTAAATCTCTTGATTTTTATCAAATTAAGCATTCAGTTGCGATTTTTGTGCTAAAAAAATACATACAAATTCAGCACACTTAATAAGTTCAGCAGAAAAATTTTTATTTATCAAACACACAAAACATCTGAATGTCTGAATGAATTCAGTTTCAACACTTTTTTATGTTATCAAACAGATACTAAGTTGTTTCTCTCCTAAAAAAAAAAATTTTCAAAACACCAGCATGACCAAAGGAACAAACTACATTTCCATATGCTAATACCAATTCGAAGCAAACTATTGAAGCTTGGTATGGTCAAGTAAGTATCAAGTTGGCCTCGTTTGGTTTGCGATTTTTCTCTGAAAAATTATTACGTTTTTTCATGAACACACTTCCCTATCACTTTTTTATCTCACATATATCAAATCGCTACAGTAAATTTTCTACAAAAAATCTAAAAAAATGCAATCCAAACGGTTAGAGCTTGATGTCATGGAAAAGCGATTCTCAGTCCAAGGGTTAAGAGCTAGACTCAATACTTAACATGTACCAAGTCTTCTTCATTTCGACCCCTCATCGTTTGAATCTACAAAAAAATCACTTATGGTTTTAAATCATACATTTTGACCTCTTATGTTTGAACTAATTTGAACAGCAACGAAAATCCTCAAAATTAATGGAGGTAGACGAAACGACACAATTATCCTAATATATACAAGTAACAAAAGACCTTCTAACAACCATTCTATTAAGCAAACTTACAGGAAAATCTCTTGTGGTTAAGTCAACCTATGGAAAAAATCCCTATGGTTACACATTATTTTTATTTATTTATTTGTGGCATCGAAATAAGATAAGTTGTATTTAAAAATTTTATTTATTATTTTATGTATAGAAATAATGTGAATTGTATTTGAAAATTTTAGGTTATTTTTGAAAATTTTATGAGTTTCAAGGGGTTTAATAAGTATATCAAATAAAATTTTGATTTAAAAATTATTTTCCATGTCAAGCAATCTCAAACTCATTAATTTAAATGATTTTCATCAATTTTTCACATTAGTTCAAACCACGAGATATTGGATTATATAATTTGAAATCACAAGAAAATTTTTTGTTGGTTTGTTCAACTACAGGGAGCTTTTCTGTATTATAACTCTAAGGGTATAATAAATATATTAACTGAAAATTTATTTATTTTCAGTATAAATACTCGCAAAAGAAGCGTGTTTATTTCAAACCTGTTAATTCAAACGATTTTTATCACTTTTTTAAATTAGTTCAAATCACAAGGTACCGGGTATATATTTTGAAACTATAGGAGATTTTTCTGTATGTTTGCTAAACCTCAAAGGTTTTTCTATATTTTACCCCATAATTATTAATGTGTCCACCGAGGAATTTGTCAAAATTTGAGATAACAAAAAGCAGCAAGCTTTGAATGGCAGTTTTATCTTCATCGCGTGTAATTCAAGCTTCTTGTCCTCATCGCGCATAGTACTACGTGTGAGGATAAATGTGTTAACCAATCTGTCTCATGTTTCATGACATTAAAAAAAAGGCATTTTAATACCATAAAAAAGGCAGGCAGAGCATGTACGAGATCATCTGTATTCAATACTGAGCAAATTAATAGTGATTGTATAATTATATCTCTTAGATTAAGAGGACAAATTACATCCCCGGCCAAAAATGCTGACAGATTCTACGCTCTGGCTCCTGAATTGCCATTGGCTTTGAGCATGAAGATGGTGCCGCATTTAGCTCTGGGTGTGACATTTTTACAATGCCTTTATTGAGTGATAGACCAGCTCTGATCAAAGACAGACGGGCAAGTTCTTGATACAGTAAATTCCAAAGACCCGACTCTGATCAAAGACAGACAGACAAGTTCTTGATACAGTAAATTCCAAAGAACCGCAATCAAGTTCTTGACCAAAGGCAACTTTAACTAGAGCCTAGCTATAATGCTTGCAGCCAGCTTGGCCTGAGCTCTTTTCTCATCTGTCAAGAATCTCAAGATGAGAAAGCTGTTGGACGATGGAGAATAAGTGAACTCTCATCCTTTCTCTCGATTGCAAGACACTTTTGGATCCACCCATACCTTGAACATGCATGGGATTTTGGATTGGGAAAGCTGGAAGTGTTTGAATCCATTTCCACAGATACGGACGGATCAATTCTCTCTTGAGCAATCTGGCGACCTTGAAGAAGGATGTTGAGATTAGCTTGTCCATAAATTTGTGATTTTGGTATGATGTTCGTTATTGGAATCAGAAACCGAAACACGAGGGCATCTGGATGGTTCATGTGGATCATTAGATGTCTTTTTTTTTTTCCCTTGTGTGCTTGAACCTTCTTCAGAAAAATTTCAACATGTGATCTCCGCCATAAAATCGTTATTGTTTTTGTCTGGTGAGCAAAGGGAGGTAAACTTGTTGCAGATGCGAGGGTGACAGTAACTCAAAAGACATATGCATTTTCATACAATCTGAAGATGCGAGCTGTGGTGATTGGTCCACTACTACACTTTTACTCACGTCTTCATCATCACCAGCGCAAAGTTTCTAAAAGATCAACTGTCTCTCAGAGATGGTCAATTAAGATAATTTGTCATACAACAGAAGAAAGTTAGTAGCTCAAATTTTTACAAGATTAGTGGGTAAACTGATCACTAAAACACTAGTGCTGGTTTAAAAAAAAAAAAAAAAAAAAAAACTACACATCAAAAGACCACCAAAAAATAAACACGTACACGCTCTGCTCTCACTTGAGGTCTAACCACTATATATACAAATCAGCCCAATCTTCTGGTCCTCGGAGTTCCTGTCATCGGTCAGTTCTATCACATCAATTTAGTCCTCTGCCCATACAGTAAAGACAAAGAAACGAGAGCTTTAACGATTTCTCCCAAAATAACCCATCAAATTCCACCACCATGGCCGCCGTCCCCTGACCTCACCTTTCGCGCATGAAAACTTGGCTAAAGACCATCACTTTCTGCATTTCCCAAGCCTTTTCTTTTTGTTGCTTGTTTTGCTTCTTTCATCTTCGGTAATCATCCCATCCTCTTTAATTTCTCTGTTCTGATTTTATCTCTTCGATATGCATTGGCCTTGATATAATAGTAAGAGCTGCTTCTTTGATGCTCTTTGTTGTTTTGGACTCGCCGATTTTCCTGCTTTAACCCAACACTGGTGGGCAGAGGTTTAATCTTTTTCTGTTAACTGCACTTGCACTTTTTGCACTTCAGAGACAGTTTCTTTTTCCTTTTTTTTTTTTTTTTCCTTTTTGTTATCAAGTCACTGGGTCGCATCTCTGCATTAGGATTTAAGGACAAATTTCAAACTTTTTCTTGGGTTTTAACCTTGGTGAGAAAGGGGTCTTGTTGCTTTGGCCTTTTCTTTGCTTTTATTATCAGGTATAAGGATCACATCCATCCATTTGGATTTGAGGACAAGATTGACAATTAATACTGGAGAAGACAGAAAGAGGGGTTTTCTTATTTTGAGCAAATCTCGATATCTTCATAATCCTTAGGGCTGGGTGATTTCCATATCCCATAGAACTGGCCATGCAGCATCTATTCGCTCTAATTAATTAGCAACTAAATTCAATTGAAGATATGTCGCCATCAAATAGGTAATTAACTTCAGGAACTGATACTGATCGAGTTTGGAATGCAGGAACCAGCCTAGCATGGGGCAGCAAATGAGACCAGCCAAAATGCTAAAATTGCTTGAATCAGGTAAAGTTAATCATCTGGGACTTGGATAGTGGTTGATTGACTTCAGTTAGTTGACAAGTTTCTCTTTGTTGGAGCGTCCCTTTATTCTGATTGCCAATCATTACCCTGAAGCTATTAGGCACTTTAGTAAGTATTTATTCGTGCCACGTTTAGCTCTTAATGGGGGAAATATTCATGGGTTAATTATTTGTCAAGAATCTTAGTGATCTAAGTTAGTGGAGACTTAGTTTGCAAAAAGGAAATCTCGGTTGGATTTTGTCCAAGAGTTAACTTTAGCTTTCAGATTTTCCTGATACGTCGTATTTATTCCTCCTAGCTGCTGTAATTACCATTTTCGGCCAAAAAACACGTGGAGTCAGTTTTGGTAATTTCATAGCGTTTGTCGACGTGATTTCATGCACGCTCGATTAATTTCATAATAGTGAAATATTAACTGAAAATTTTACCAACACCACTGCCATACTACTATTCCAGTTCTTGCTGCCAAATTTAAAGTCTGAAAACTGGCAATGGTGTAGCTTTTAGGACACGAGTTCTTGATTTCTATATTTTACTTCTAGTTCTTCATATGCCATGCTTCTGCTGTTTACAACCAATTGCTGCTCTCTTATGTGGTAGCTTGTCAAGTTTGTTCAAGTACCTCTATCTAGGCATTTTCCTTATGAATTCAGGCCGAAGAATTCCAGTCATGGATGGCTCAGAACAGCAAGATGTTCATGCTGCACTGAATGATGAGGAAGGGAAAGATAGAATCAGCAGTTTACCTGATTGCATTCTTCACTATATTCTCTCTTTTCTTCCTACCAAGGAGGCTGTAGCAACTGGCATACTAGCAAGGCGGTGGAAGGATCTTTGGACTGCTGTTCCAATTCTGGACTTTGATGATTCTAAGCTCTACTCAAGCCATGTGAACTATTGGTATCCAGCTGAGATCACAAGATTTATGAATTTTGTTGAGAGGGTGCTTCTACTTAGAGATGTATCAAACATTGAAAGGTTCCGACTTTCATGTCGTGTTTGTTTAGTATCTCGTGTTCATGCGTGGATTTCAGCAGCTATCAGACATAATGTTAAAGAGCTTGATCTTTGTTTCTTTGTAGATGAACCTTTTCTATTGCCTCACCGTGTTTTTAACTGTGGATCACTCTCAATCTTAAATGTAGAAATGAACAGCATCATTCAGCTACCCAATAGCATCTCTTGTCCAGGCCTTAAAATCTTGCACTTGGGTCTTGTCACATTTCCTGATGATATATCAACTCAGAGGCTATTTTTCCTCCTGCCCAGTGCTTGAAGAATTGGCTATCTTGGATTGTGATTGGATTAATATGAGACATATTTCCATCTCGATTCCCTCACTAAGGAAATTGATAATAGATGATTTGCCAACCTTTGATTCTAGAGATTACTGTTGGGGCTGTGAAATTAAAATTGATGCTGGAAGCCTCATATTCTTTAAGTACAGTGGTTATCTAAGTAATGATATTCATCTAATTGAGGTTTCATCTTCAGTCAAGGCATTACTTCACATTCCAATGGTGCAAGAAGCGCAAAACCCACTAATGTATTCTCGCCTTATCAAGCTCTTTCTTGAGCTGAAAAATATCAGTTCTTTGGGAATCTCTGGTTGCACCATTGAGGTAAATCGGTGTGCATTTTTACCGTTCATTTTTCTTATTCTTTGTTCCTTTTGACATTTCTTAGTGGTTTTCATGTTATCACACATTTAATTGTCACACCAATTCTGACTTAGTAAAATCTGATTTTATTCTTCTTTGTTGCCAGTCCCTCTTTTTCCGTGAAAAGATGCCAAATGACCTCCCGGCATTTCAGAAGTTGACTCGTTTAGAGTTGAGCATGCAGCTTGGCGTACATTCTGGTGGAGCATTGATGAAATTTTTACTGCACTTGCCAAATTTGGAGTCTCTTAATATTTCTAAGGCAACATTGTGGCACCTTTAAAGTTCCATCATAATGTTTTGCTGCATATACTGAGGAAAGCATTTTTCTGTTATTCAGGGACTTGATCCTGCCATGTACCTCACTGAAGATGATTGGACACCCAAATCAGCAGCTAAAAGTTTCATGTCTAGCCTCAAGACTGTGGTCCTCCGATGTTTTCATGGCAACAGTACTGAAGTTTGTCTGTTGGGATACTTCCTGAAACATGCATCTTCCTTGGAGAGAATGATTGTGTTTTGTCACAAGAGCCCTTTAGATGATTCAAAAGAGCAGGAAGACATGAAGAATGAGTTGCAATCACATCCAAGAGTATCAGAATACTGTATGATCATGTTTTTTTGAACTTCATGCAGATGTAAGTTCTTTTTAATGATTCTTTCCCAAGTTGTTTTCCTTTTTCCTGTTGCATACCTGGAAAGAATTTAATTTCTTAAATTGACATTGCTATTTATCTTTTGTGTTGTGACAATGTAACGAAATAATAGGAATCATGGTTTGGGGTGGATTGGAGACAATGCTGCTACAGTTTTTTATTGTTATTTTTAATCAACTGCTTCCCAAAATTGGTTATTATGCCTTATTATATTGAGGATGGGATTGATTGTCAGTGTCATTTTCTTTTATATTTCTTGTCTAAAAATATGCTTGTTATAGAATAATGGTGCTTCAACATGAGGAACACATTTTTTTTTTCAGACTGTATCCACAAACTTTTGTTTGCTTCATTGGCTACTATGACAGAAGTACATTCAATGAATATAGTAAAAGCATGCTACGTCCTCTGGTATTAACATGATTTGATGCATCGTTATGTACATTGGATGTTTCTGTCTATTGAGAGAGAGAGAGAGAGAAGGGGGAGGGGGGGGGAGGAGAGCATTATTCGTAAATTATGGAGCATTGTCTAGAATAATATTAGTCAACCCATAACTATTTCGTAGGATCGATCACTTGTTTAAATCTCGTACCTTGATCACATACCTTTATTGGATGATGTGGTAAATGATCATCTCCTGGACGTAGAAAATAGTGATGATGAGAATGGAAGAACTTATTGATAACATTTTGCAATATTGTTCACCATCTCTCAATGAGCGTGGCCTTGCACTCATGGAAGTGTGAAAGGGGAACAGAATCATTGTTTTACTCTTTGCTTTTGTTATCCTCACTGCATATATGGGAAATTTATGATTACTTGAGGGAGTTGAGGGGTGCGGTTATACTCCTTTCTTTCCCCTCATGGAGTATAATCTGCTTTCACCGAGTTGTCTTTTCCTGGCTCTTGAAGTAGGGAAGTCAAGTGTACGTAATTGAACAAATGTGATGCTTTCTGTAGTTTAGACTGATTAGAGTAGAATTTGTTGAATTGGTATTCTACACTTGTCTTATGCTGCTACATCTTGTGCTGAATGCCGGGAAGATATGTCTAGCAGTATAGATGTATAAGAAACTCGACTAGAAAGATTTTTGTAGCTTTTCTGCGTTGATTTTTCCTTAGTAGTTGTATAAGATGCTGTACATATTCTGGAAGTTTGACCGTTTTCATTGGTTTGCAGTTTGTTTCAAGAACTGGCACTCTTCTGCAAGTGTAGCTGTTGGATCTCGATGGAGTATGATAAATAGTTTTGCAATGGAGTCTGTGATGGTGACCTTACAGAGCCTCAAAAGGCAATTTCTGACAAATTTTTAAGGAAGCTCTTAGTACGAGTGGTTTTAAAATTTCTTTTGTTGGGGTTAATTTTGGCAGCTGGTATATGTTAAGATAGGGTTACTGTTGTGGAGATCATTTGAGGGTCTGGTTATAGCAAATAGAAATTAGTGTGCACAGGTTTTACTGATCAGTTGAGATGCACAGTGGTCTACTCTTGAACTGTTTTTGGTTTACCGTAAAACATGCATAAAAGTGGTACACGTTCGAACCATTGTCAAAATTTACAGAATATGTATTTTGGTGGAAAAGGTTTGTCGTTGGTAGCGATTTGCCAATACACGGTGATGTAGCATGAATGTTGTGGCCTGTGAAGTCGCGTCCTCAATCTGCTCTTGCTGGATTCACAGCTTTTAGGATGGTTACAGATGCATCTGCCAAATGCAACGCCGGCTGGATGATGTATTTGCAGCATGGTTTACAAATCCCACCACCATCCATTGGTGTTCTCGGTTATTGGGTGGAAATTCATGTTTGTTTTTGGCATTTTTAATTGTCATGGTATAAATTGTGAGGCTATCCAAAGCGAGTTCAAAGCCATCATCCATATATCATATAGACACTAACCCAAAACCCAAGCAAAGAAACACAAAACATGACTTGAGCTGTGAGAGAGGCAGGCAGTTGGGACTTTTTAAGCATTGAATTATGGGACTAGTTGGGCAATAAACTAGTGGCAGTATCTGATGGCATATATCCCTGGAATATGCTGTGGTCAGCTGGATATTACTACTTGTTTAAATGACAGTCAACTACAAGTACTCTATTGTAGAGTATCAGATTTTTAATAAGTTGGATGCGTAGCTGAAGGACTAAAAAAATATTAGGTGGAACATTTCTTCTGATTTTAAAACCTGCTGGTTCTTGTTAGGCTCTTGATTCCATCCTAAAGCACGAGAATTGGCATGATTGAAAACTAATCTTTTGCAGAGATTCAAGCTAATGCTGTATCCTCCTGCTTTCCTTTCGCGCAGAATACTCATATATCTAGCTCTGGATTTCGACTATTGTCGATGGCACACCAGAGTATTTAATTCTATGCAATATCTGCTATTGCCGTAAAAGAAAGAAAAAAATATATCGATTGGACTGTTTAGCAGACAAATTTAGCCACTTTATAGGGCACCATTTTCAGATGATTAAAGACAATTCACGTACCCGCTAACACCCCTAGAATAGGCTAGTTTAGATTATAGGAATTCTATCGTATCGACAAAAAAAATTATATATATGTATACCCCTGACACCTACCGTATACATACTGACAATGAACATTATAGTAGTATAATTGTTGAGATTTTGATTCATTTAATAGAGGAAACACAACGCTTCAGAGTTCAGACGTTCATCCTCTACAATCAATCTCACTCGAAATTTAACGACACTTCCAAGAAAACATAGACCAGCTTATATACTACTCCATCAGCATATCAATAATAATATATCGTATCATATGTTGTCGTTGCCGTAAAAAAAATGAAACAGAAAAGATAATAGATCGAGGGCGGGACCATTTAAGCTCGGTTTGCTCGTTTCCTTTTCTTTGCCTTAATTAACATGACAGGATGTCCCTACTAGTCCCTGCTACCGAACTGAATCGGACCAAACTAGTTAGCTGGCCAAAAGAATATGAAATGATAGTGATAAGGAAGGATGATCATGTTTCCGGTCCTCCCTCGTTCTCGACGTGCAGAAGCTAACAGGTGTGCTGATCTTCTTCTGGCGAGGATGGGATGGGAGCAGCAGCCATTTCTAAACTTCTTTGAGATGATTGTAGGAGCTTTTGCTTACCTGGTTTTGTAAACTCGTGTTAGACTTATTTATTTAATATTACTATCTTTCGCACCCAAAAAAAAAAAAAAAAAAAGGGAGAAAGTGTTAAGGGATCGAAGTCAATAGTCAAGTTTCTTGCCATTTGACAAAAAAAAAGATAAGGGATCGAATGTTTCTTGACTCCAGCCAAAAAAATACGAATTATTTCTTGAAAAATTGTTCTCATGTTCTTAGGACAGGCTGTGCACAGTTTGGAATAGTTCAAAATGAATACAAACCCAATCAAAACGTCACTGGACCAACAAAATCAGCAAAACAAACGTAGCAAAACAGATAACTTTGGTTGGCCTGCCGTCATTCTCTAAGGAGGGCGGTGTGATTGAGGAGCATCCTTGTTAACCCAACCCTTTCTAGTGAAAGCAACTTGACTTTTTAGTGCGGTGTGTTTGGATTGCAATTTTCTAGAGCTTTTGTAAAAAATAGTGTAGCAATTCGATATATGTGAGATAAAAAAATTAATTGATAAATGTGTTCGCGGAAAATGTAAAGATTTTTTTGATGGAAATTCCCTTTCCGAACAAGGCAGCAATTTTGGTCTCTGAAGTTTTAGCAAAATAAATTTAGTCCCCAGTGTTTGATATATGGTGCAATTTTAATTCTTAAAGTTTCGGCAAAAATACATTTACTCTCCAATGTTCGGTATGTGGTTCAATTTTAATCCTCAAAATTTCGGCAAAAATAAATCCGATCCCAATTTTACCTATTTGGAGCAAATTTAGGATAATTGACCAACATTCCAAAATATTGATGGAATCAATTAGTATATGAAATCACGTGTCTCCGTGAAGAGAAAGCAAATGAGTAAGTTTGAACAATAAGAATAACTCACGTGATAGCACGTTACCAAAATAAAACAAAAAGGAAGGAAATTTGTTAAACTATACGAAAAATTAAGTGCTATGATTTTTTCCCCTTGAGACAGTGGTGATAAAGAGTGAAAATGAATTTTAGATCGACGAACAAAAGAGTGCTTAGACTAATTTTACTTTTTTAGTTTAAAAAATTTCTTTATTTTTAACTACTCAATCAGTTAGCACGTGAGTTATTAGTTAGTTCTTAAATTTTGATGTTTAAAGTTAGCTACTATTTTGTTTATTTATTTTGAAATTTAACTCAATGGACACATGACTAGAGGTGATTAAAATTTGTCCATATTGATTTTTTTTCTAAAGTCCTAAATTTACTTTAAATTGGTTCACTGGGGACTAAATTTGATCTTACCTAAATTTTAAGGACTAAAAGGTGCATGCATGCTAATAATTGGGAATTAAATTAATTATTGTCAAAACTTTGATGACTAAAATTATACAAACAAAAACCAAACGTTAGGGACTAAAACTGCATCTTCCCCTTGTTTTAGCCAGCCTCCAAATACCCTCGACGTTCCCCGTTTTTATTTGAAGGAGGAGTCTTTTTCACATGAATTATTTGTTCACATTGGTACTGTACACTTAACTGCACTGGGATTTCCAAGCGCACAACGTTGGTAAAAATGCACAGAAACAAATCAAATCCCAAATACTACTACTTTTATATATATATATAATAATTAGTCTTGAACTTGTGGCTAATTATATTATACTGATGCCGTATTGTACTTGCTAGAAAACCTGTTCGGTGCAGAAGTCCTTCTACAAGACAACTCTATTTGCACAGGTAAGTTGTGTAGGCTTTTCTTACACACGAGTCACGGCCGGGGACAGCTCGCCTCTTGCTGGCTTCTCTTTGCCATATACGGAGGTCCAAGCTCCGATCTTTCGGCCCTTTCTTTGAAGTTGTCAACTCGGGATCTTTCATTTCTGAGATTTGTCAACTTTTTGGTCAAAACCCACCGTGATTTTCGCCTGAATAGTGAAAGAAGTTAGTGTCTCTGTACAAGCATGATGTCTTCATTGAAGCAGCCAGTAGTACATTTCCATGGGTCCGATGCTTTCCGGCCACAGTCTTCTGTACCGTCAAGGCGGTTCTCGGTTCTTCCGCCGCTTCCTGCACTTAATACTCGTCGGAGTAGCTCTGTTGTTTCACTGTCAAAGCCCCTTTTTGTTTCCAAAGTTGAATCTTTTTCTCCTTTAGGGACCCTGAAAAGATCTTCTTCAACTGGTGACGCTGGCGATAATGATCATGTTCCGCAAAAGCGTGACTTGGTTATATGTAAGGCTTATGAGGCTGATAAATCAACCCCAATTGATGACTCGCAAGCGCGATCTGAGGCAGCGAGGAGGGTGAAAATTGGGGTTTACTTTGCTACATGGTGGGCTTTGAATGTGATTTTCAATATATATAACAAGAAGGTTTTGAATGCTTATCCCTTTCCTTGGTTGACCTCAACGCTTTCATTGGCTGCTGGCTCTCTGATCATGCTCATTTCTTGGGCTTTAAGGATTGCTGAAACTCCAAAGACCGATCTCGACTTCTGGAAAGCCCTTTTCCCAGTAAGAAACCAATTTAGGGTTTTATGTACTCTATTCCTCTTACTTTTATTATATTGGTCGTTCCGTTCTTCATTACTCTTTTGTTTTATGATCTGGGATTGGTTGAATAGTGGTTTTCTGGTCTGGATTGCTTCATTTGTTGGAAAATGTTGTCTGCATCTAGCGTAGGAATGGTAAGTTAGGATTTAAAAGGCTAATTAGGTAATACGAGTTCGCTTTATCTTGGGGTGGGTGATCTTGGTTTTTTTTTTTTTAAAATATGTTTATGCCTGGCTTGTTTTGGTTTGGTGATGGTTTTGTTTTATGTCTTTAGGTTGCTGTTGCTCATACGATCGGGCATGTGGCAGCGACTGTGAGTATGTCAAAGGTAGCAGTTTCATTTACTCATATAATCAAGAGTGGTGAACCTGCGTTCAGTGTCCTGGTCTCAAGGTTCCTGTTGGGGGAGACATTTCCGGTGCCAGTTTACTTGTCATTGATCCCAATTATTGGTGGTTGCGCACTGGCTGCTGTTACTGAGCTGAACTTTAACATGGTTGGTAAGTGGTTTCTTGCTATTGTTAGATGTTGTTGGAGTTTCTTTTTCTTTTGTTGTTCTTTGTTTTTTCTGTTTCCTCATTTGTTGTTGCTTTTATTTATTTTATTTATTTTTTTATAGATTGCTAGTTCATGGAAGCTACACTTATTTTATCCTAAAATTTAGTAAAATATTTACTGATAACCGTTTACGAGGACTATGTTGACAATCAGATTACTTTTGCTGCTGTTTATTTTCCAGGAAAAAAAGGATGAATAATAGTTCAGTGTAGTAGCAGTGTCTTTTGCAAATTAATCACTGCTATTATGTATTTCATTGGCAAAGGTTTGGTAGCCAGTTTCATAATCCTATAATTTCTTCGAGTAGTTACAGTTCTCTTCAATTAGATAAAGGTCATAAGGAACTTAATATTATTTTTAACTGCTAAGCAGGTGGTGGGGTATTATGTTTTAGTTAATATCAACTACCTGTATGATT